ACGCAAGCTACATGAAACAACAAAGCCACACCAAGACGGTTTAATCGAAAAGCAATTGATTTGACTCTTTCAATTTTTAAATAATATCTTTTGATGTCTATACAAAAAAACTGGCTGCAGAAAAGAAGGAAGGGTTGTGGAGCAATATTGTTTCAAGGTTTCTTGGAAAACCTCTGTTGACTGCGATATTTTTTGCCTCAGCTGTTTTTGCATGGCCAGTCAATATTGGATAGACTATCAGACTGTTAATTCTCATAGACTATCCTTAATTTCTTGCAAGGGCCATTCCCGAATCAGCTAGATGGCTTCACGTAAATGGAAGAAATGACGAGGCTCTTGCAATCTTTCGAAAGATCGCTAAGTGTAATGGAAAGGAGCTACCAGAAGTTGAACTGAAGAAGATTGAAGAGGACTGTTCTACCGGAATAAAACATTATCTTTACCTATTCAAGCCTGCAAAAATCGCAACAAGGAGCTTGATCCAAGGATATACATGGCGAGTAAATACTTGTTTGTGATTGTGCAAGATAGAGTGGAGTCGTTGGTAGATATAATAACTGTTGACAGATGGTGATTGATGATGGGGTTTGTCACTAATTATCAGAGAGAGACAGACACAGTTTAGCCAAGTTTACAAAACGCGAAGGAAGATTTCAGTGCGTGTCAATACTTTTGAAATGTGGAAAAGTTTGTTAGTTAGCCAATTAGCTAAGGGATCTTGTGTGATTGTATACGTGAAGAAGAAGTAATTCACCACTGCAGTTTTGCTGCAAATTTTAACTACACATAGTTTACTGCTTTTTAGGATGGTGTGTTCCTTGGTGTTCTTTGGAGTTTCATTTGGCGCCGGTGACTTGAGCGGCCATATACACAGGGACTACATCATTACCAGCTTATTCGACATACCGGCTGCTATTCTTGCAATATACCTTTGCAACAAGTGAGTTACTTCGTTCTATGCCTTGTTTTTTAGGGGGGGGGCGTAGTATTGAAACCTTGAACTTATATCGCTCATCCTATCAAAATGCATCACTAAAGAGCAAAGTTGTATGACTTAATGAAAACAATATAAAAGTTTTTTGACCATACATCTGTAAACAGCAGTAGGTCTAATGATGATCCCTGAGTAACTCACTAAACGTGAACGTACCTTATCTTCCAGAATTGGAAGAAAGAAGACAACGATTATTCCCATTTTTATTGCCGGGATATCCTGCATTGCTGTATCCTTGATTCCAAAAAAATCAGGGAGCAAACCATCGGGTAAGTTTTTCACAAAGATTTTCAAGCTGCAGCCATTCTCATACTTAGTTTGCCTCTATAAATATATAAAATGAAAGTGTACAATTCCAGATCGGGTAAAAGAGAACTGAGGCACTCATTTGAATCATAACATGTTCAATTTGAATGAAGCTCGTACATTAATTCCAAAAGTGATATCACTTTCTCAATGATCTTTTTTAATGTTGTCAAGGTACTATTTTGCAAACATTGTCTGTCTTCGTTCTAGTTTTCATGTGATGTCCTTGTTCAAATTCTAAGAAAATATTTAAGAAATACAAAATCCGTTCGCTTTCGTACCAGGGTCAAAACTGGTCAGGGTAGCACAGCAAAGTTGTCTTGATTGCACTTCGCTAGTGTAAACGAAAAGGTGTGCAGAGAACGTTTTTTACGTTGAAGCTTCCAAGGAACAATGCAAATGGGGATTAAGTCGCTTGTTTGAGCAAAACATTCTAACATAGCAAAGAAGCATCTTAGGTACTTTGTAGCAGTGTCCTCTTTATGTCTAATGGGTTTAAAATCATGCTCACACCTCGAGAAGTGCTTCATCTTCCATGACTTAAATTAGAAGAGTTCTGCACCATTCAGGACTTCTAATACGTCCGGCCTTATATTAGCTGCCAGTACTGCACCATTAAAGACATCGTCAACATCACTATTTGAAAACATCACCCTACTTGTTAAAGTCAACACCTGTTCCGGGAAAGATAAACCATTTTCATGCAAAACTAAATGATTCTGATACGATTGATTCGTACATGGATTGACATAACTTTTTTCATCCAGAACTTGTTGGTCTTCGAGTTTTCTTTGGAGTGCTTGGAAGGTTTTGCATCACGTTGTCACATGATTCCATTTACATATGGTCGACCGAAATGTACCCGACTTGCGTAAGGTAAGATTAATTAAAAAAATCAATCCTGTTAGGCAAAAATTTCAGCAAAAATAGCGAAAACTCATTGAAAGTCACTGAGTTTTCCGATTACTTAACCAATTGGAAAAAGGTAAATAGAAGATTGGAGACGAATATCAATATATAAAAAATACCAGTTATCTTCTGAACAAGTCGAAGTGTATTAGTATAGGTGCCTTATTATTTTAATAAATTATTTTAGATTCGACTTGGACTTTGATCAAATACATACATATTAATATATAGAAATTTGTCTTTTGATACTTCCGTAGCTCAATACGTTAGCACGTAGAGCGTGATATATCATAGATTGAAGAAAGTAAAACTACATGTCAGTCTCCTGAAGAGTGAGTTACTCACGAAACAGGCTTGTAGAGATAAACCATGTAGTTTTACTTTCTTCAATCTATGATATATATTAATATATATATATATTACATATATATTGATATATATATATACTACATATATACTACATATATATACATTTATATATATAAATATATTACATCTCCGGCACGGCCTAAAAAAACTTTACTTGTGTCGTTAAATCAGCTGTTATTATCTTTGCTTGTAAAGTGTGCTATTTTTGTTCTTTTGCTTTGTATTCCTCATTTTACGCTCCAAATATAAATGAAGGTTATTGTGAAGGAGCATATCCCGAAACGTTAATCAATTCTAGAGCTTTTGATACATAAACAATATATACAATTTGGCAGCACCCATGTGGAAATAATTTCCCTCTGATCTTGGCCTACTGAATTAATAAAGCAAAAAATTCAAATACCTTCAATATATGAATTCCTTGACAGGGGTGCAGCCATGGGCTACTTGCAAATCTTTGCCCATATTGGTTCTTCACTAGCACCTTGGGTGGCAAAATGGCTCGTCGCCTTCCACGTGGTTCTGCCGTTTTCAATAATGGGCGGTTTAGCTGTCATAAGTGCGATTTTGTTGTTGAGGCTGCCTGAGACGGCTAATAAGGAAACACTGGAAACACTTGCTGATCAATTTGAAATGAAGGGTAGTCACGTAAAGGAGGTAGATCTAAAAGAAGAGAAGGAAAACGTTAATGAGATAAAAGACCTAACTGCATGATATTTCCCACCCTCCATCAGCAAGGAGGAGCAAAATACTGCAATTTTATAATCAAACCAAACCCAATATACATGCTTTTTACTTTACAAAGAACCTTGCTAGAGTCTTAGTTCTCGAAGTTCCTGATCTTTAGATTTTTTGATCGAATTGTAGTACTCAAAGTTCCTTAATAGTTTCTTAATTTACGAAAATTGTTCCTCCTCCATTACAATTCTGTGTTAGTGTCGCTAGATTCTTAACTGTAGATGGCAAATAAGGTGAAAAACGGATAATAAACTAGAAAGACGTTTCATGTATGAAAAAGTGGAAACTCGGTCAAGAAAAAATGTAAAACTCGAAATTACACAATGAAACCTTCGATCGCTACCATCTTTACACAAAAATGGATGGAAACGGCTTCCCAACTTGATTGTTTGCAAGAATAAAAAATTCCAAAGATGAGAAGCTCCTTAGGTTGTTTGTTCTTAAAACAAAAGGTTCTTTAATTTTTTCTGCCTACTACATGCAAGTTTTTTATAAAGAAGTTCCTTATAAAAAGAGTGCAAGTTGCACGAAAGTTTGGTACATTAACTAACTTTAAATGAAGCATTACGATGGCACAAGGCTGATCACCAAGTCAAATGCAAACTTGGTAGAACTTCTAACCCCCCTCCTTTCCCCCCAACCCCTCAAGAAAAAAGGAAGCATTGCAGTGACCATTGTCGAATGTAATCATGTCCTCCATTTTATCATAGCCATTAACACCTTCCATCGTCTCCGTACCAACAGCAAGGTAATCTACAACACTTCTGTAACATCTCCTTGTTTTATGTGTATACGCCCTGTATTGTAGTTAGTTAGTTTTCATTTCGCTGGAGAAAAGAAGCACAAAAACACAGCAGATTTGTTTTCATTGTATCGATGGCCTAAGACAGCATAAACCAAAAATCAAGATCATAAACATAAAGATAAAGATTAGTGAGATCGTTCGTTTACAACTCTTTTATTAATAGTTCTGTATTTCATGTACAACCACAATAAGAGCGATTAACGCATTACTGAATTTACCCTGGGCACCAGAGCTATTAAAGCAATACTGAATTTACCCTGGGTACCAGAGCTATTAAAGCAATACTGAATTTACCCTGGGTACCAGAGCCACAAACTTTCGAGCGCGGAAACAGAGTGCCAAGCAGAGAAGCGGAGGAACGTTTGTATGGTGAGTTCCACCAAATGGATTAATCAATAACCTGCTCCACGCACAATGCATCCTGCTCCACGCACAATGCATCCTGCTCCACCAACAATGCATCCTGCTCCACGCACAATGCATCCTGCTCCACGCACAATGCATCCTGCTCCACCAACAATGCATTCTGCTCCACGCACAATGCATCCTGCTCCACGCACAATGCTTCCTGCTCCACACACAATGCATCCTGGACCACGCACAATGCAAGAACACGTTTTTCGACAGGTACCACAAAAAGCGTTCCTCGATTCAGTCTCCTTGCGAAACAACGAAGAGAATTAGATGTAAAAGCCAGGACCGCATTCACATCTGTTGGAGCCCTAGGCCCACAGTTGATTGAGACCCCTTGAAATATAACAAAAGTTGTGTCTTGTGCATAGTACTTGGCTAAATATAATCATAACCAAACGGGTTAATATTCACTAAATATGAAAAAATATTTTGGTGGTACAAAAATTAAAAATGCCATGAAACAAGTAAACATTTAAGTATACCAAATCTTTTCGTCTTACACTCTTCAGAGTTTAGAACGTCAGAACATAGATCGAAAACTCTACGCTAAGAAATATATATACCCAGTTGTGGATCGAAATAGGCCAATCATAAACGCGAGCACATGACTGTTGAGCTTGCCCAATAAGTGCTGCTTGCCAATAGAGAATGTTACCAATGGAGTCCTAAGGTGAAAACAAACTCCTTTTGTCTTCATAATAGCGGTCTTTTCGTGAATATGTAGATAGATTCTAAAACTGCAAGATGGAACGATGATCGGGCTTTACCAATTTTCCTTAACATGTCGCCACAATAGTTTTTTTGAACAATCTGGGTTTTCCAGTAAATGTTGCCCGATAGCAGAATCGCGTGTTTTAGTTTTAGTCGTACTTTAAGATCTGCAAGACCGAGGTGGTTCTTCGCTTTGGGGATGAGTTTTGTTTCTAGTACTAGACGGAGCATGCTGTTTTATTCTATTTTTGGGTAGTGCATCCTACGTAGCCAGAATCACACTGGCACGTAAATTTATAAATAACTCTTTTGGGTGGTAGAAACGCAATCCTTTTGAATGGATGGAAGAACCTTTTTTGTACTGTAAACTATACGTGGATTATACCGAATCATATGAGATGTCCTGTTAGAATATCTAGTAGCTCTAGTTTGAAAATTACTTTTTAAAACCCCAACTAATCAAATCTTTGGCTAGAAATAATAAGTGGCTACCAGCTAGAGGCAGAATATGCTAATTACCGTCCATCTAGACAAGGTTTCTTCAGTTTTTGCACTGGCTTAAACATTCGAAGCCTTCATCATTGTTGTCTGCAGAAAATTTAAAACCTACACTTTCCTAATCGCAAGAACTGCCACTTTTCATAGAGTACCGAAGTGATGATGTCATAAAAATATATTTTTAGTATTTCTGAATTTTGATCCCAGAACCTGAAAGAGCATCAGGAAATACCTCTAAATATGCAAAATCAGTGAAAGGCATTTAGAGTTGGTTGAGATATGGCCACTTGAGCACAGGCTCTTTCCCCATCAAACCTATGTAATTTTATCTTGTTTCATAACTTTATGAACCAGGCCAGAATAACAGTAACCCGTTAGCAAACTTGAAATCTTTCATGGGTCATATCTCGCCCACTTTGGAACATATCTAACTAATTTTGCATATTGAGAGGTATTTTATGCCGTTCTTTCAGATTATGTGGCCAAATTTAAGAAATTCTAAAAATAGATTTTTGATGACGTCACACTTCGGCACTCTATTATTCTTAGCAACAAGCAAATTATAACATTGAAAATTTAAAAAGTAAAACACATTTTTATTCATTTGGAAATATCTAGCCATACCGCCAGTTTCTCAAAAACGCATAAAACTTGCCTCGGCAACGTCACAAAATTGACGATTTATAAAATGCACCATTCCACTGATATGCAATTGCACAATGGAATTACAGAAAATGCGGGTTAGTTGTATTTGTTGCTTGTTTATCGAGCAATTTTCCAAGCGCTCTCTTCAACGTTGCTTCAATTCCTTTGCCTGGAATCATTGTGAGCTGGCCACTCTCCTCTCTCAAGCGAAAGTTTGGTTTTTGCTGAAACCCGAACCCAAGACTTCTGGATCTGTTTTGCACAAGAGCTGCTGTTTTGCAGGCTTTGACAAACCTTGAAACATTTCTATCCATCTATCTTGGGACATTTGGGTTTCAGAGCATTTGGGGGGTGTTCCAAAACCGGTGATTTGCCGACAAAATTGTCGTGGCAACAGATACAGGCGTGGTTCTCAAATGATTATAATTATCATTGATAAAACTCGCGAATATTTTTTCGCGAACTGCTATATTTCAGTTTTGCTCAGTGTCATAATTGCAGGGTAGCCAGCAAACCAAAAGGTCCCGGTTCAGGGTGTGGTAGATAAACTTTTTTCAGCCACACCAACTAATGCGAGAAAAGGCTAAAATATGCTCAGTTCAAATCAATTATTGACGGTTGTGGTTCTCTATTGAAATCAAGGACTCTATGTATGGAGTTGAACTCTGCACAATAACAGCAAAACAATGGTTCTATTTGTAACTCTAAGAAACTCTAATAACAGTTCAAAATACCAATCCTAGTCTGACAATTTTTGCAATATTTTCAAGCGAACCTAATATATATATTCGAGCTGAGAAAATAATCAAAGATTCAACCTGAATGTTCTTTTCTTTTATGTGTCATCTTTTTATTTGTCTAGGTTAGTATCTTGGCTACAATTTGAAATCTAGTGACCTACAAACTTATTCACACTAAAACATCATTGAGAAAACTTAAAACGATACAGATTCCTTAGTCTATACCAAACTTCATTATTTTAAACACGTTGTTCATTTAACAATTAGCAAACAGAAAAACTTCATTATAACTTTTAAGAATGCACCTTGCAGAGGGTTTCAGAGAAAAGAAAAACTTGAAGGGCAGCAGGGGAAGGTCTTTTACTGTTGCCTACTACTTTCAAGGAAGAAACTTTCGCGGAAAGGAATTTTCGCAGAAAGAAATTTTCACGAGAAGAAACTTGCGAGGGAAGGAACCTTTGCGTTTTTTAGCGTTTATGGCCTAAAATCGCGGATGATTGATACGCAAAACTTCCTGAAATACTAAATATGCGAAAATTTATTTTTGTGATATATCTAGAAAAATTTGCTGGTGATCCTCTCTAAAACTTTGACGAAGAATTTTTTAGTTGGACAAATTTTATATCTTTTTCGGTGATTTGCTGGTATCCTGTGGAATAAAAATAGAAGGAAACCTCAATTGAATAGAAATGTTTATCACGCAAAGTCCATTTTCTCTAAAACGCGAAAGTTTGTTTTTGCAAAGCTCCTATTTCGTTTCTTTCGCAAAGTTGATTCCAAAAATTTCCCAATTTGAGAAGCTTTCTTTCTGCGCAACTTTCTGTGGAAGGTCATTATTAGCTAAAAATATAACAATGGCGACTCTAGACAACTAACTAAAAACAACAACTCCTTGATCGCTACATACAGTTTTAAATTATTTCTCTAGGAAGTAGGACAGATTTGCCTTTGTGCGAAATTTGAAATAGAGTTTCTGTATAGTTGATGTTGGTCACAGTGGGGCTCTTTGGCCTGCGCGCAGACTTCATTCTGATGTTTAGTTGTGAAGCCAGCACGCATGTTAGGGGCCTTGGCTGTGACTTTAGTTTCCAGTTTATGAAAATTATCTTCTCCACTCCAACTTTTGCAGAAAGGGCCCGTAATTTTCTTTACTTTACATGTCTGAGGCCCGGTGGGGATCTCCACTTTGCCACCCGGGCCAGACCGCGCCTGGCCTTTAGCACGAGGGAGTTTGAGCGATCATCAATTATTCTCGTTAGGTTTATATAAATTTCAACTGTGACTGGTGCTATCATCAACAACCGATAATATGTATTTGAAGATGGCACAATTCTCTGTCTTTCTTCTGAAAATTTGCCAGTTTCCAAGAAGTTGACGACAAAACTTCCATTTTCGAAAATTTGCCGACAAGGTTAGGGTCTGGGGGGTGTCACACCCCCCCCCCCCCTTGACCGCCCCGTAGCGACGGCCCTGGGATCAAATGAAAATCTCTTTATTTTGAGCGGGTTTAAGTACAATAAAGTGTTTTGTACAAAGCAAAGCTATATAGAGAACGTAATTGTGGTTTTGTCCCATACCACCAAGAACCACATATCGAAACACAATGGCTACAACACCGGTCGATACTCGTACGCAACCGTTGACCATGGATGAGATTCTGCCATACATCGGGGAATTTGGAAAGTTTCAGATTCTTCTAGAAGTTGCATTTTGTGTTATGGTGATTCCAGGTTCAATGCTCATACTCGTCCCGTACTTTGCGCAAGACAGTCCTCCATGGACATGCGTTTCAAATAGTACACTTTGCCGTCTTAATGGAACGTTTGACTCTTATAGCCGATTCTATCAATACCGATGCAATATGCCGAGGTCAGAATGGGAATTCACAAAGCCAAAAGAATACTCAATAGTCACACAGGTAAATCTTAACCAGCTCATTCCTACTGAACTCTAATTCAGAGCAACTGTGTTAGTTGTTCCAAATGTAGAACAGAATAATATCATGTTTCCATTTCTTGTGTTTGTGATGGTGATGGTGAAAGAGGGTTGATGTCCGAATTCTTAATTTGAAATCCATCAAAATCAATAGCTCTGCACTGAACATTGTGTATCAGTTTATGCGAGTGGATAGTTTCATTCGTTCTAGAAGTAATATCAATTTCTTTTGAGGATCAAGTGCAAAGGGTTTTTATAATTATCATTTTATTATTGATCTACTCAGTAGGCTGGTACATTTACATGTTATCAATACATATGCAAGATTAGATTGATACTTAGAATTGGATAAATAAGTCTTTGGTACTGCAAAATTTGATGGGGGCACGAAATAGTGGAAACATAGCTAACTTAAGTACATTTCGTCCGACACTCTTCACAATTTAAACATCGAATAATGATCCAAGCAGTGACACCGTGGAAGGGAAGAAGGCTCGAGGGGCTTAGCCTCCCATGTTAAAATTGGGGGAGATTTGGGGGGGGGCAGCCAAGTGGTGTAGCTAGCCATATAGCAGTGGTCATCCTCACAAATTTCCATAATGTAGGTGTGGTCAAACTCTGCCACTGATGTGTTCCTTTTGAGTAAAAAAGTTTAAGGCTTGTAACTAATGAAAAACAGTCTGATGAACCTTTGAATTGGCTTCTCTTATTACTTAGCAATTATCTTGTTACACCACAAAATGAACTTGTGTCTTGCGTGTGGTTTGTTGGTATTTGCTGTACTAGACAAAATTCTGACAATAAACAAAAGGAATTTTCAGGAAGCCATTAATAAACATTAGTTCAGTATAGTAGGTAAGTTAGTTTTAATCAAGAATTGTAATGAATGTCTTCCTAATTTCTTTCAATTTGGAGGCTTAAGTTCATTTGTAAAGTTTAGAGATGAGCTCGAGTTTGTAAATGAAAGTTTTAATCACATGAAACTGAATGGAGAATCTTTTGGTCATCATTTCCACGAATAGTATTGTTAGCAATTTATGACTAAAACCATCATGATTAACTAACAACCCCTATAGAACTGATTAATGAAAAAAATAAATGGGCCAATGAATATGTAATGACAATTTTGATATGAAATATAAGAAACTAAAATAATGGATAGCCCTAGCTGCAAAACTTTTTCTGCAAAGTTAGACTTAATTGAAATAAACCTTGCAAAATTAGTTTAGCTAAACAGAAGCATTGATGTTTTCACATGCTTGTGGTATATATACACATGATTCCCCATATCCACATATCCACATTAGTCTACTTTTATCATGATTTCCCTTCAATAATTTGTTGTGTTTCTTAATAGCTTGAGTGGTTTCATCTACCCAACAGAGAACCTTTAACAGAAATGCAAGTATATTGGCTGTGGCTAGGGGTGTAGTCCTGGATGTGGCCTTTAGAAACTCCCTACAGCAAAGCCCCCTTTCTAACTTTTTTGGACGGGATCCCTGACCAGAAGTGTACCCAGGTGTTGACTGAAAGTAACGTGAGAAGAAAAAGGACTCTGTTTTTTTGTATTTTACCAATCAGCGATTAGATTGACATTTTGATTGACAAGTCACTATCTTGATTGGTGAATAAACCGGCAATAATTTCCATTCAATTTCATGAGATTATTTCGTAGCCAATCAATCGTGGCAGAGGTATCATAGGTTAAGCCTTCTGATAATGCATTAGTGCTTGCGGTCCTATAAATGAACGATGGTGTCATCTGCACAGTGGCATATTATATGGTCTCTAACAAAGATAAACGTTTACTCGTTTATCTAGACATTGAACAAAACTGACCCTTGTAGAGATCCTTGAGGTACACCCAAAGGTGGTCTCTTTCCTTGTGGTACACTCAAAGGAGCTTTAGTATCCATCTACTTCTGCTCGCTGTTTTTCTCATGATAGCGACTATCAGTAATATTCAGCACTTTCTTGTGAAACCATATGCATCAAGTTTGGCAATTTGCAGATCATTATTTATACAGGTACTGTTTCCGTTGTCAATTGCTATCGTCCAGTTTTCAATTATTCGCAAGAGAGCATGCTTGGTACTGCAGTTCTCTGTAAAGCTGCCTGATACGAGATGTAGAAAGCAGTAAGCGAATGGCTTCATTTCAGCTTCTGCTATCCTCTCACTCATATAATTTTATCTAATAAGTCATCCTTTTAATTTTGTACATTTCCTATATAATTTTATTCATTCATTGTAATTAAATTAAGATTTGTAAAGTGAGTATAAATAGTAAGCTTTAATTAGCTGTTACATTAGCTGAAAAATTTTACTTATAATAATAATAATAATAATAATAATACTTTTGATTTGAATGGTGGTAGTGTGATTGGCCTATTGGCCTATATCAGAGAGGGTGTGTCACTCTTCGTGAAAATTGAAGTAATGTCGAGAAGTACTGCCAACCATGAGTACAAAATGGACATGTTAGTTAGAGTTGCCCCTCCCTCATCGAGTTGAAGCAAGTCTGGCACCTCACTTTGGAAATTGTGAGCCTCTTTTGAAGAATGAGAATCACGTGAGAATGATTCTGAGAATTGTAGGTTAATTTACTTCAAGGATTACCTCAAAGTATACAAGATATACTGCAATAATTTCATGACAAGGAGAATAGAAAGCCTTCTGCCAGTAGGTAGGGTCTGAAATTGTTCTATACAGCCTACACTCGTCACCAATTTCTGAAAATTTTCAGCGCCCAAACTACCCACTGCCTCTCCTTCAAATTTGCGCTGGATTCGTGCCCGAGCGAATGAAAGATTGAATGACTTTACGCAAGTGGACTGTTTGAACAATATTATTTGTGGAAAGGTTTAAGTTTTATACATATCAATAACAAATAAAATTATTGCTGCAGGTCCACGGTGGTCTAGGTAACCTTTACCCGCCTTCACTCATTTCTGTTGGCCAAGCATCAATGAATGATAAGTACCATTATGAAAGCTAAGGCCTACTGAGCAACCCAAGAACTAATCAATAAAAAAGAAAGGATGGAAAAATTCTAAATCAGCTTGCGAACGAAGATTAGCAGGGGATGTGCTCCAAAACCACCTGGAGTTAATAAAGCATACCTAGCTTAGGAGCCAGGGTGTTGGAGACGATCCTCCGGATTAACTCAGGATAAACAGGGTCTAGCCAGCAGTACTCTGAAAATGCTGCCACTTACAAACGGGGTTTTACTTTATACTTCAAATTTAAAATGAACGTTTATTTCAGTTCGATTTGCACTGCGACACTGAAGTATACAGTTACTTGGCCACATCTTCAGTTTTTATCAGCTGGGCGTTTGGAGGAGTCATTCTTGGTTGGGCGTCAGATAGGTAAGTAAATGGGAAACTGAATCATTTTCGGTCCACAATGAATCTGATGATCTATTGATCGTAATAAAATGTATGGAAACATCAGCGGTTTTACGCTGTCTGCTTTGTTTTTCTAACGACACTTTTTCTCGTGCTTGATAAGCGTAGAAAATTTTTAAAAAGAAGGAAATCCTGTGGCAAATATAAGCTGTGCCAAATTATTCTCTTAACAGTGTCCGCAAAAGAAGGAGTCGCCCAGCCATTCAGTCCTATTGTTTTATTCTGTGTTTCCAATCTTGCACCAGCCCTTTTCATTATCGCTGTCTATGCTAAACATGTTGCTTAAAACTTGGATCTTGTTTTTAGGTATGGTAGAAGGATTATAATGCTGACATCGACAACTTTTGTCCTTTTGTCTGGGTTCATCAGCTCGTTCTCTCCAAATATTTGGTTCTACATTTTTGCACGAGCAGTGTTTGGGTTCTTCACACCTGGAACTTTTATACAGTCAATCGTTCTAATTTCAGAATTTGTAGGCCCAAAATGGCGTCCATTTGCGGGTATAGCAATTTGGATATTATATGCAGTAGGCGTTGTCCTCCTTGGTGTTATAGCCATCTTCGTTCAGACGTGGAAAACACTGATGATAGTCATCACAGCTCCATATTTTTTCATTTTGCTGTTTTTCTTGTAAGTTTAATCCATGAAATTTTCTTATTCATTGTCAGGGATCCTTCTTTTTCTTGGCCGTGTGGATTAGCACAATATTAAGCTTAGGGCTAAAGCAAAGATAGGAAGTGCATTGCAGATCTCTGTTAGAGTACTAAGTTTGATGTTTGAAGTTCCAACGACCATTTTTCGTTATGGTTTTCTATTTTGATTTTAGGGTGTACGCAGTTCATATATCAAAACCTGAAATAGGACTGGGCCACTTTTCAGTTTTAGAACAAAAGCTTAATTCAGTACGTAGATTAGAGAGGAACAATTAAAATCAAATATGCCATATAGCAAAGGAATATATTTATATATATATCTTCTTGATAATTCGGGTAGTAAAACCAAAGACAAGGGAAGGAAGGAAAGGGTTCCATTTGTACTAAGATACCATCCAGCACTCAAGGCACAACAATCGTGCAGTATATGATACCAGCATGAAACTTCACAACTTATTTACTTTAAGGTGTAGAATAAAATGCAAAACAGACTCTAGCCGAAAAATTCCGCTAAAAGCTATTTCTAGAACATTTAACTTGGTTTCAGTCCTCAAAATCAACTAAGTCACTTGTGAGCGGTTTAATTCAACTCAACTCAACGGAAAGGTAGAAACTAAGGAGCCTAGTTGAAAACAGTAGAGTCTGCACGCTGGCTACATGAAACAACAAAGCCACACCAAGACTGTTTAATCGAGAAGCAATTGATTTGACTCTTTCATTTTTAAATAATATCTTTTGATTACTATACAAAGAAACTGGCTGCAGATAAGAACGGAGAGTTGTGGAACAATATTTTTGAAGGTTTCTTGAAAAACCTTTGTTGACTGCGATATTTTTTGCCTCAGCTGTTTTTGCATGGCCAGTCAATATTGGATAGACTATCAGACTGTTAATTCTCATAGACTATCCTTAATTTCTTGCAAGGGCCATTCCCGAATCAGCTAGATGGCTTCACGTAAATGGTAGAAATGACGAGGCTTTTGCAATCTTTCGAAAGATCGCTAAGTGTAATGGAAAGGAGCTACCAGAAATTCAACTGAAGAAGATTGAAGAGGACTGTTCCACCGGAATAAAACATTATCTTCACCTATTCAAGCCTGCAAAAATCGCAAGAAGGAGCTTGATCCAAGGATATGCATGGTGAGTAAATACTTTTTTATGATTGTGCAAGATAGAGAGGAGTCGTTGGTAGAAACAATAGCTGTTGACAGACGGTGATTGATGATGGGGTTTGTCACTAAATACCAGACAGAGACAGACACAGTTTAGCCAACTTTACAAAACGTGCCAATTAGCTAAGGGTTCTTTTGTGATTGTGTACGTGAAGAAGAAGTTAGGGACAGAAGTATAGAGAGACAAAACAGGAAAGCAGGACAGTAGAAAACAAGAACTTATGGATTTATTGGCAGGAGTACTGAATACACTAGAATTTTTTTCGGCGTTCTCAGGTTTACTGCGTTGTCAGGATTACTGCGTTGTCAGGTTTACTGCGTTGTCAGGTTTACTGCTTTGTCAGGTTTACTGCGTTGTCAGCTTTACTGCGTTGTCAGTTTACTGCGTTGTCAGGTTACTGCGTTGTCAGTTTTACTGCGTTGTCAGGTTTACTGCGTTGTCAGTTTACTACGTTGTCAGTTTACTACGTTGTCAGTTTACTGCGTTGTCAGTTTACTACGTTGTCAGTTTACTGCGTTGTCAGGTTTACTGCGTTGTCAGGTTTACTGCGTTGTCAGTTGACTGCGTTGTCAGTTTACTGCGTTGTCAGGTTTACTGCGTTGTCAGGTTAACTGCATTGTTAGGTTTACTGCGTTGTCAGTTTACTGCGTTGTCAGTTTACTGCGTTGTCAGGTTTACTGCGTTGTCAGTTTACTGCGTTGTCAGGTTTACTGCGTTGTCAGTTTACTACGTTGTCAGTTTACTGCGTTGTCAGTTTACTGCGTTGTCAGGTTAACTGCGTTGTCAGGTTTACTGCGTTGTCAGTTGACTGCGTTGTCAGTTTACTGCGTTGTCAGGTTTACTGCGTTGTCAGGTTAACTGCATTGTTAGGTTTACTGCGTTGTCAGTTTACTGCGTTGTCAGTTTACTGCGTTGTCAGGTTTACTGCGTTGTCAGTTTACTGCGTTGTCAGGTTTACTGCGTTGTCAGTTTACTACGTTGTCAGTTTACTGCGTTGTCAGGTTTACTGCGTTGTCAGGTTAACTGCGTTGTCAGGTTTACTGCGTTGTCAGGTTTACTGCGTTGTCAGTTTACTGCGTTGTCAGGTTTACTGCGTTGTCAGTTTACTACGTTGTCAGTTTACTGCGTTGTCAGGTTTACTGCGTTGTCAGGTTAACTGCGTTGTCAGGTTTACTGCGTTGTCAGGTTTACTGCGTTGTCAGGTTTATTGCGTTGTCAGTTTGCTGCGTTGCCAGGTTTACTGCGAGAACAGGAGCTAACCAAAAACCTTCTACGTCAGGCTTTCTAAGTAATTCACCACTGTAGTTATGCCGCAAATTTTAACTACACATAGTTTACTGTTTTTCAGGATGGTGTGTGGCTTGGTGTTCTTTGGAGTTTCATTTGGCGCCGGTGACTTAAGCGGCCACATACTCAGGGACTACATCATTACCAGCTTATTTGACATACCGGCTGCTGTTCTTGCAATATACCTTTGCAACAAGTGAGTTTCTTCGTTCTATGCCTTGTTTTTTTTAGGTGGGGGTGTAGTATTGAAACCTTGAACTTACATCGCTCATCCCATCGAAATACATCACTAAAGAGCAAATTGTATGACTGAAGGAAATCAATTTAAAAGTTTTTTGACCATACATTCTGTAAACAGCAGTAGGTCTAATGATGATCCCTGAGTAACTCACTAAACGTGAACGTACCTTATCTTCCAGAATTGGAAGAAAGAAGACAGTGATTATTCCCATGTTTATTGCCGGGATATCCTGCATCGCTGTATCCTTGATTCCAAAAAAGTCAGGGAGCAAACCATCGGGTAAGTTTTTCACAAAGATTTTCAAGCTGCAGCCATTCTCATACTTAGTTTGCCTCTATAAATATATAAAATGAAAGTGTACAATTCCAGATAGGGTAAACAAGACCTGAGGCACTCATCTGAATCATAACATGTTCAATTTGAAAGAAGCTCATACATTAATTCCAAAAGTGATATCACTTTCTCAATGATCTTTCTTTATGTTGTCAAGGTACTATTTTGCAAAAATTGTCTGTCTTCGTTCAAATTTTCTTGTTATGTCCTTGTTCAAATTCTATGAAATTATCTAGGAAAAGACGTGATATTAAAAATGAAGCGGACATTTTCAAGAATCAAAACGTCAGTTTAAGCCCCCGTTTTCAATGTCCTGTTCGAAAACGGAACCGCCATGGTACAAAATCCGTTTGCTTTCGTACCAGTGTCAAAACTGGTCAGGGTAGCACAGCAAAGTTGTCTTGATTTAACTTTGCTGGTGTAAACGAAAGGTGTGCAGAGAACGTTTTTTACGTTAAAGCTTGCACGGGACAATGCAAACAGGGATTAAGTCGCTTCTTTGAGCACAACATTCTATCATAGCAAAGAAGCATCTTAGGTACTTTGTAGCAGTGTCCTCTTTATGTCTAATGGGTTTAAAATTATGCTCGCACCTCAAAGAGTGCTTCATCTTCCATGACCTAGATTAAAAGAGTTCTGCACCATTCCGGACTTCTAATACGTCCGGCCTTATATTAGCTTCCAATACTGCACCATTAAAGACATCGTCAACATCCACTAATTGAAAACAACACCTCACTTGTTAAAGTCAACACCTGTTCCGGGAAAAATAAACCATTTTCATGCAAAACTAAATGATTCTGATACGATTGATTCGTACATGCATTGACATAACTTTTTTCATCCAGAACTTGTTAGTCTTCGAGTTTTCTTTGGAGTGCTTGGAAGGTTTTGCATCGCGTTGTCGCATGATTCCATTTTCATATGGTCGACCGAAATGTACCCGACTTGCGTAAGGTAAGATTAATTAAAAAATCAATCCTGTTATGCAAAAATTTCAGCAAAAATATTTGAGAAACTACCAGCAAAATAGCGAAAACTCATTAAAATTCACTGAGTTTTCCGATTACTTAACCAATTGGAAAAAGTGAAATAGAAGATAGGAGACGAACATCAATATATAAAAAATACAAGTTATCTTCTGAACAAGTCGAAGTGTATAAGTATAGGTGCCTTATTATTCTAATAAATTATTTCAGATTCGACTTGGACTTTGATCAAATACATATATATTAATATATATATATATATATTATTATTTGTTATATATAGAAATATCTTTATATACAAATACATTACATATCTATTTATATTACATATAATATATATATATTTACATCTCCGGCTGGGCCTAAAAACACTTTACTTGTGTCGTTAAATTAGCTATTATTATCGTTGCTTGTAAAGTGTGCTATTTTTGTTCTTTTGTTTAGTATTCCTTATTTTGCGCTCCAAATATAAATGAAGGTTATTGTGAAGGAGCATATCGCGAAACGTTAATCAATTCGCGAAACGTTTTTTAGTGATCATCTATTTAAAGTTTTTAAAAACATTATAGTCTAGAGCTTTTGAATACATACACAATATATAAAATTGGGCAGCACCCTTGTGGAAATAATTTCCCTCTGTCAACCTTGGCCTACTGAATAAATACACCAAAAAATTCAAATACCTTCAATATATGAATTCCTTGACAGGGGTGCAGCCATGGGCTACTTGCAAATTTTTGCCCATATTGGTTCTTCACTAGCACCTTGGGTGGCAAAATGGCTCGTCGCCTTCCACGTGGTTCTACCGTTTTCAATAATGGGCGGTTTAGCTGTCATAAGTGCGATTTTGTTGTTGAGGCTGCCTGAGACGGCTAATAAGGAAACATTGGAAACACTTGCTGATCAATTTGAAATGAAGAGCAGCCACGTAAAGGAGGCAGATCTAAAAGAAGAGAAGGAAAACGTTAATGAGATAAAAGACCTAACTGCATGATATTTTCCACCCTCCTTCAGCAAGGAGGAGCAAAGTGCTGAAATTTTATTATCAAACCAATCCTATTATACACTCTTTTTACTTTACAAAAAACCTTGCTTGAGGCATAGTTCTCGAAGCTCCTTATCTTTGGACTTTTTTGGACCTGATTGTTTGCAAGAATAAAAAATTCCAAAGATGAGAAGCTCCTTAGGTTGTTTGTTCTTAAAACAAAAGCATTGCATTGCAGTGACCATTGTTGAATGTAATCATGTCCGCCATTTTATCATAGCCATTAACACCTTCCATCGTCTCCGTACCAACAGCAACGTAATCTACAACACTTCTGTAGCATCCCCTCGTTTTATGTGTATACGCCCTTTATTGTAGTTAGTTAGTTTTCATTTCGCTGGTGAAAAGAAGCACAAAAACACAGCAGATTTGTTTTCATTGTATCGATGGCCTAAGGCAGCATAAACCAAAAATCAAGATCATAAACATAAAGATGAAAATTGTTGAGATCGTTCGTTTACAACTCTTTTATTAATAGTTCTGTATATCATGTACAACCACAATAAGAGCTATTAACGCATTACTGAATTTACCCTGGGTACCAGAGCTATTAAAGCATTACTGAATTTACCCTGGGTACCAGAGCTATTAAAGCATTACTGAATTTACCCTGGGTACCAGAGCCACAAACTTTCGCAGAAACAGAGTGCCAAGCAGAGAAGCGGAGGAGCGTTTGTATGGTGAGTTCCACCAAATGGGTTGATCAATAACTTTCAAATATAAAATTCTGAATGAAATTGATTGGTGAGACAAAATTGAAAGGAGCATACTATGCTTTAATGAGCGTTGTTGAAATACCCCACTTCCAGACTTTTAGCCGAGCATTCTTGTTTTGCTTAGCTCTTCAATGATGCTCAGACTTTTCAGAAAATTGATTTGGTCAAAATTGATTCAGAAAATAGAATGAAATGTGCACTTTATGGTCAAGCATTAATTTGGTACAGAATTTGACAGGGTGAATATTATGAGATGCAGAACAACTTCAAAAATGCCCCCAAAAGCTATTTTAGACAATTCATATTAGTCCCACACAATGCATCCTGCTCCACGCACAATGCATCCTGCTCCACACACAATGCATCCTGATCCACCCACAATGCATCCTGCTCCACGCACAATGCATCCTGCTCCACGCACAATGCATCTTCCTCCACGCACAATGCATCCTGCTCCACACACAATGCATCCTGCTCAACACACAATGCATCCTGCTCAACACACAATGCATCCTGCTCCACCCAAAATGTATCCTACTCCACGCACAATGCATCCTGCTCCACCCACAATGCATCCTGCTCCACACACAATGCATCCTGCTCCACCCACAATGCATCCTGCTCCACGCACAATGCATCCTGGTCCACGCACAATGCATCCTGCTCCACGCACAATGCATCCTGCTCCACGCACAATGCATCCTGGGCCACGCACAATGCAAGAACTCGTTTTTCGACAGGTACCACAAAAAGCGTCACTCGATTCAGTCTCCTTTTATGATGTAATTAGATTTAAAAGCCAGGACCGCATTCACATCTGTTGGAGCCTTAGGCCCACAGTTGATCGAGACCCCTTGTAATATAACAAAAGTTGTGTCTTGTGCATAGTACTTGGCTAAACATAATCATAACCAAACGGGTTAATATTCACTAAATATGCAAACAATCTTTTGATGGTACAAAAATTTAAAATGCCATGAAACAAGTAATTATTTGAGTATACCAAATCTTTTCGTCTTACACTCTTCAGAATTTAGAACGTCAGAACTCTACGCTAAGAAATATATATACTATATAATATAATTATAATTATATATAAATATATATAATATAATTTTGGTGGTACAAAACTTGAAAATGGCTTTGAAAAAAGCCAATATTTGAGTAAACTAAAGCTTTTCGTTTAACACCTTGCAGAGTTTAAAACGTCAGAATATAGATCGAAAACTCTACGCTAAGAAATATATATACTATATAATATAATTATAATTATATATAAATATATATAATATAATTTTGGTGGTACAAAACTTGAAAATGGCTTTGAAAAAAGCCAATATTTGAGTAAACTAAAGCTTTTCGTTTAACACTCTTCAGAATTTAGAACGTCAGAACATAGATCGAAAACTCTACGCTAAGAAATATATATACCCAGTTGTGGATCGAAATAGAAACGCGAGCACATGACTGTTGAGATTGCCCAATCAGTGCCGCTTGCCTATCGAAATTTTTACCAATGGAGTTCTAAGGTGAAAACGAACTCCTTTTGTCTGCATAATAGTAGTTTTTTCGGGCTTATGTAGATAAATTCCAAAACTGCTAGATGGAACGACGATCGGGCTTTAGCAATTGTCCGAAACATGTCGCCACTATAGTTTTTTGCACAATCTGGGTTTTCCAGTAAATGTTGCCCGATAGCAGAATCGCGTGTTATAGTTTTAGTCGTACTTTAAGATCTGCAAGACCGAGGTGGTTGTTCGCTTTGGGGATGAGTTTTGTTTATAGTACTAAACGGAACGTGCTGTTTTATCTTGCCTTCCAATATTTGGGTAGTGCTTCCTACGTAGCCAGAATCACAATGACACGTAAATTTATAAATAACTCTTTTGGGTGGTAGAAACGCAATCCTTTTGAATGGATGGAAGGGCCTTTTTTGTACTGTAAACTTTACGTGGATTATACCGAATTATATGAGATGTCCTGTTAGAATATTTAGTAGCTCTATTTTCAAAGTTATTTTTATAACCCCAACTAATCAAATCTTTGGTTAGAAATAACTAGGGGCTACCAGCTAGAGGCAGAATATGCTAATAACCGTCCATCTAGACAAGGTTTTTTCAGTTTTTGCACTGACTTAAGCATTCGCGGCCTTTTTTATTGTTGTCTGCAGAAAATTTAAAACCTACACTTTTCTAATCGCAAGAACTACCACTTTTCATAGAGCACCGAAGTGATGATGTCATAAAAATATATTTTTAGTATTTTTGAATTTTGATCCCAGAACCTGAAAGAGCATTATAAAATACCTCTAAATATGCAAAATCAGTGAAAGGCATTTAGAGTTGGTTGAGATATGGCCACTTGAGCACAGGCTCTTGTCCCATCAAACCTATGTAATTTTATCTTGTTTCATAACTTTATGAACCAGGCCAGAATAACAGTAACCCGTTAGCAAACTTGAAATCTTTCATCGGTCATATCTCGCCCACTTTGGAACATATCTAACTAATTTTGCATATTGAGAGGTATTTTATGCCGTTCTTTCAGATTATGTGGCCAAATTCAAGAAATTCTAAAAATGGATTTTTGATGACGTCACACTTCGGCACTCTATTATTCTTAGCAACAAGCAAATTATAACATTGAAAATTTTAAAAAGTGAAACACATTTTTATTCATTTGGAAATATTTCGCCATACCGACAGTTTCTCAAGATCGCATAAAACTTGTTTCGGCAAGGTAAAAAAAAGACGAATTATAAAATGCACCATTCCACTGCTATGCGACTGCACAGTGGAATTACAGAAGATGCGGGTTAGTTGTATTTGTTGTTTGTTTATCGAGCAATTTCCCAATCGCTCTTTCAACGTTGCCTCAATCCCTTTCCCTGGAATCATTGTGAGCTGGTCACTCTCCTCAAACATTTTCAGGTTATAAGCTTTGGAAATCAGACAAAAATCTCTTTATTTTAAACTGGTTTAAGTACAATAAAGTGTTTTGTACAAAGCAAAGTTATATAGAGAACGTCATTGTGGTTTTGTCCTACATCACCAAGAACCGCATATCAAAACACAATGGCTACAACACCGGTCGATACTCTTACACAACCGTTGACCATGGATGAGATTTTGCCATACATCGGGGAATTTGGAAAGTTTCAGATTCTTCTAGAAGTTGCATTTTGTGTTATGGCAATTCCAGGTTCGA